GCCCTTGTGGCCGTGGCGAATGTGCTTGGCGATGCCGGCCTGCTGCGCAGACTCAACCATGTACTGCTTGATCTTTCCCCCCGAGGCCATCGACTCCTTGCCCGGCCAGGGATTCCAGCCAAAGCTGAAAGTGAAGACGTCCGAGTCGGACCTGATGCCTGGGTATCGCCAGAGATCCCACGTCCCGCCGATGGCGTCGCGACTCTCCAGGATCACGTAGGAAGTGCTCGCCGGCGCGTCATTCTGCACGCGGTATGCGGCGTTGATGCCAGAGACGCCTGCTCCGACGATGACTACGTCAAAGTCGGAGCTGCTGGGCAAGGCTTCTTCTGACTTGGCGTCCATGGCCTGTCTGCACCATTACTGCCCGACGTGAACTCGCGGCAAAGGGTTGGTGTGTTTGGGATTGGGAAAAAGAAAGGGAGGCCTTGTTACCACACACATTTTGTTGTCGGTCTGCTGCTGCGTGTTCTCGGCCGCTCGGATTGGCACATGCGAAATAAAGAAAAAGGGATTTTGATCCAGCCGAGCTGTCTCCGACATGGTCGACGTCAGAATGAAGATGTCGAGCGAAGGCGTCGACGAATCAAGCCACATTGCCCTTCGGTGAAGATCAGAAGAACCCTTCAACTCCACTTCCCCTCAATTCTAGTCTGTTTTTGGGCCATTCATGATGAAGGGTGAAGAATGAAAGATGCAAGACTGCCTGGATCAAGGTAGACCCCCTCACGGGACGTGATATCGAGACCCCGGCATGTTGAGATTGCTTGTCCTGGTGTAGAGAATATCCTGTCAGCCCATCCCTTTGAGTGTGTTAAGGTCCAAGTGAGGTATCTGACCCACTTTTCTGCGATACCTAACAGGTACGTCTTTGGTGACAATATCAGCTATGATAGGAAGATGTAGCTCTTTGTAAATTTAATTATTACTGGTACTCATACTATTATATTACTTCTTGGGTGAGAATTTGTACCGTTCAACACGGCTTTTCTCATTGGCCAGAACCCCTGCCCGGTACGAAAAATGGACCTCAACACATTCAAAGGGATGTCTAATAAACGCGGGGTGAGAATGAAACGAGGGTCGTTCGTGTTCCTTGAGCGTTCGTGGGAATCCACTCGACTGCATGACATGCTAGTTTGATGCCATTTGCCAAGAGAAGAGCTACATTATCGTAATCTGCCCGTATCGATGATGGTCCATCCATCGCGAAGGACCAACGCCGCTGGCCGTTTCCAAGACTACACGGTATTAACTAGTATCGGGGCCGCAGCGCAACTCTACCAGCAAAGGTACATCGTCTTCACCACTTCTTGTCCAACATCTATGAGCCAGGACTCCATGCACTGCGGTGGAAATATGCTTTTGCCGCTCCTTGCTATGTCTCACAGAGACCAGTCGCAGCCTTGTGATACCTTGTAATCACCGCCTCAGCAGCCTACCGTTGACCTTTTGTCTCTGTGCAACCAGACGGTTCTCCACCAGCACTGAATAGCAAGATCCGCATGCCTGGAAGTCGCTGCCAAGTAAACCCGTTGTAATAGCCCGTAGAAAGAGCCTGGTCGCACTCTGAATTGTGGTACTGGCAACAGTTGCAACATCCATAGTTTTCTTGCGGCTCGCAACCAAGTAAGAAGCTCCCGGTAGGATGTAAAAGGTCCACGGTTACCCGTGTGGGTTGCTTACCCGTGGGCTTTAGGTAGGTTTAGGTAAGAAAAAAAGACTTAAATAAATTTATAAGGGAAAATAAGATACTTATAATTATTTATTAAAAATATTAAGTGTTTTTAGGTACTTAAATAAAACCTATATAACTTACTTTATACTTTAAACTTAAGACTTATTATAAATATAATTAAAT